CTCCCGCCCTGGGCCCCCAACGGCCCTTCCCGAATCCCCGAGGCCGGATTCCCATCGGGGGCCCGGGGGCCCCGGGGCCCCGTGTCCGGGAGGGAGGGGCGCACGCTCCGTAGATGCCGAGTGTGCTGGTCTGTATTTTTGCAGCTTCTATTTTCTAGATGAGCCGTTTAGAGAGACGTGATGTCAAGTACGTGCTGTACGACTGCTGACAATTATATTAAAAGCACTATTTTACTTCTTCCTCGGTCTCTATTCTCTTCTCTCTGTGTCCGTGGCTAGAACGACCCTAACAGCTTCCTTAGCGGAAGGAATGACCCTAAAAGGCTGCTGGCTGTGTGGGTGCTGTGCTCCTGGCCTGTGAACGTTCGAGAGAGCGCGGGGTCCGGGGTCAGAACAGACCTGGGTCCGCATCCTCCCCCGGCCCGCCCTCCTGGCGTGGCGCCCAGCGAGTGATCAGCCTGCTCAGAGCCGTGTCACCGTCTGTCAGACGGGCACACCGACCTCTGGGCTACACGGGGTGATAAGTTATCATGGGGTGTTCCTTTCTGATTCGCCCCATCTCCAACCCCGGGAGCGCAGGGGCCACTGTGCCTCGGGCAAGGCCCACAGTGCAACGCATGGCGTCCGGTGGGTGCTCACACACTCTGAATGAATGAATGAATGAATGAATGAGGAACACGGAGCCGCAGACCCATCAGCCTGTGGGTGGAGTCCCGGCCACTCCCAGTCCTCGCCAGGCCTCTCCCCAATCGCCTGGCTTCCCCACATCACCAGGTCCCTGGCCGGACCCCCCACCTCCTCCTGTGGACAAGCCGGTCAGGGAGATGCCCGACCCAATGTGCAGGGCAGACCGGAGCCCGGGACGCACGTCTTCCGGGCCCAAGACCTCGGTCGGCCCCTCCTCATGGGGCAGCCCTGGCCTCGGGCCCCCTCACTGCACGGCCCCTCCAGCCTGGACCTCGCTCCCGACAGCCCCGCGCCCTTGGCAGCTGAGCTTGTCTGAGATCAAAGCGTGTCCAGCGACCAGCCGACCAGCCGACATGCCTCTCAGCTCCGGGGCGGGTGGGGTCAGGGGTCAGGGAGGAGTGGGCTTGGGCCAGGGACCTGTTTAAAGCCCTGTTACCTGCCCATCGGGACCTCGGGGACTTTTTTTTCCAGCCTGGCCCTGTTACTTATGTGGCTGTTTACTTTTCTTGCGAAACAACATGATTTATTCTCGCCGGCGTAACACCCCCAAGAAAACGCAATTTCAACTCTCGCCGTCCTCACGGGGAAGATGCTGAAGCAGCAGGAAGACCTGGGGGGGGGCGGGGGGAAGGGGGGGCCTCACGGCCCGGAGATCCAGGGTGAGGAGGAGGAGAAGGAAGGCCTGTCGCTTAGGGCGCCGGTGCTTGGGGTCCCCACCTCCCCCCCGACCCGTGCTTCTCATCCACAGTCTCATTTCCTTTCTCTCGCAACCTCTTCCCTCAGGAAGGTGGTCCATTGATCAACAACCGATTCCATTTTACCTTCGCTTCGCAAAGACGTGCGCTTTCTTATTTGGAGTCAACAGATTCGTCCTTGGCGATTTAAGCGGGTCCCCGGGAGCCGATCACACAGGCTGTTCGCCCAACGCGGGGGGAGCATGCTGCTGAGGTTAAACTCCAGACGTCCCGTCCCCGGCACCCTCTCGGCGGCCACGCCCCAGGCTTGGATCCCGGCCTAGACACCCTCCTCGACCCTCTCAGTCTGTGAAGGGGCTGGTCACGCGGCCCCGCATGTGGCTGCACCCCAATACGAAAGGCCTGTGTCTGTGGCCTTGGCAGTGGGCTGAGAACACCGCCCCTCCCACCTCACAGGACCTGCTGCTTTTCCCCTTCAGCCTCTGCGACCTCGGAGCTGCTGAAATGCCCGCAGTCAGCTCACATGGCAGAGACGGACTCCCTGCCCAGAGGGCACAAGTCCCTTCACCTTTCCGAGTCCCACGGGGCCAGGAGCGGAACGCACACGCCTGTGTCTCCTGGGCCCCAGAGGAGGGCTTCCCAGGTTCCTCTTCTGGGTATGTAGCTCAAGAAATCCAAAGTCATTCAAAAAGATGTATCCCTACGTTCACTACAGGATTATTTGCAGCAGCCAAAATATGTAAGCAACCTAAGTGTCCATGGGTAGACCATCGGATGAAGAAGATGTGGGACAGGTACACAATGGAGTATCACTTGGCCATAAAGAAAGGAATGAAATCCTACCACTCAGGAGAATATGGATGAACCCAGAGGGTACTGTGCTAAGTGAAATAAGTCAGACAGGGAGAGACAGATACCATATGATTTCACTTACAGTTGGAATCTAAAAAACAAAATAAATGGCCCTAGCAAGTTTGGCTCAGTGGATCAAGCATCAGCCTGCAGTCCAAAGGGTTCCGGATTCGATTCCAGTCAAGGGCGCAGACCTCGGTTGCAGGCTCCTCCCCAGCCCGGGCCCTGGTCAGGTCTCCTGCAGGAGGCAACCAATCGATGTGTTTCTCTCACATCCATGTTTCTCTCTGTCTTTCCTTCTCTCTTCCACTCTCTCTAAAAATCAATGGAAAATATCCTCGGGTGAGGATTAAAAAAATAATACTAGTAGTCAATAAAAAAATAAAAAATAAATGAACAAAACAGAAACAGAGTCACAGATGAGAGAGCACAGGGCCAGAGGAAAGGAGCTTAGGGAATTTCAAGCCACATACAAATGTACCCTTGGAATACAGCAAACTCTGAAAATGCGAAGGGATTAAGAAGCAGAAATTGGTGGTTACAGAACAGCCCCTGATGTAAAGTACAGGATAGGGAACGGAGTCAATAATATCATCATAACCGTGCCTGGTGTCAGGTGGGTACTAACTTAGGATCACTTCGTAAGTTACCCAATGTCTAACCATTCTGCCGTAGACCTGAAACTAGTATCATATTGACTGTCAGCTATAAACAAAACATTTTTAAATGAAAAAAAAAACACAACAACACAAACACACTTGTGAGACCATCTTCAAAGACAAAGGCAATATCTTGAAAAAGAGAGAGTATTGGCAAATTCCGAGACTGGATGACTAAACGCTTGAAAAATGTGATTCCCCCCCAGTGATGTCCATGATCCAAGAAAACATCAGAGGGCTTTCTATGGAATTTCACAAACTGGTTATGAAATTCAAATGAAAGTGTTCGAGAAAAGCCACGGTGATCCAGAACATGAAAATAAGAACCAATCACAGAGGAGGAGTTCTCCCAGTCACCGCGTTGGCGAAGCTCTGGTGTCTGAAAAGGTGTGTCATTTCCATCCGGAGCAGAGAGACGGGGGCTCTAAGCAGCACCCGTGGGCAGACGCTCGCTTGGGAACTTAGAATTTATTCAAATCACCGGGAGACACTGGGCCGGAAGTTGCACCAATGCAGTGATGGCGAACCTTTTGAGCTCGGCATGTCAGCATTTTGAAAAACCCTAACTTAACTCTGGTGCCGTGTCACATATAGAATTTTTTTTATCTTTGCAACCGTAGTAAAACAAAGACTTATGTTTTTGATATTTATTTTACATATTTAAATGCCATTTAACAAAGAAAAATCAACCAAAAAAATGAGTTCGCGTGTCACCTCGGACACGCGTGTCACAGGTTCGCCATCACTGGTTTAGAGAGGTGAACTGAAAATGACTGGCTCGCTGCCTCTCGTCAATGAGAAATACAAATCCCACGTGGTGTACGTGGCT